GAATGACCCTCGTAGTTTAATCTTCCCCAGAATGTTCTATGAGAGGATTGACATTACATAATGCTTCAGTCGTTTTATGATAAAACAATAGAGGAAAAACAGTCCGTTATCGAACAAACGAGGATGTATATATGACAATACATATCCGAGTGTGGGCAATAAGGAACCAAATATTGCAAAGGATAGAAAGATGAGAAGAGCCATGAAAAGTTTTGGAATAGCTAGGCTTAATAGGGTCTCTAGAAGTGATATGTAATATCCGTGAACTAAATAATCATTTTATAACTTGTACCAGTTCCTCAAGCGAGAGATTAATGGAGGTTCAATATCAAATTCTCTTGTTAAGAGCAACATATTTCATGAGCAGGAAAGACTTTTATATCTCATCACATGAAGGCTTCCTGTGTCTAAGACTATTGGCTTAATTTGAGTGGCTATTATTAAATTATATGTTCATGAACACATCGACTTCAATGATGATTAAGTCAATGTACTTTAGGTTTAAGTAACTTTCTTAATCCGTTAAAGTAATAGGTGAGTGACAAATTCTAGTGGACGTAATTCAAACCAAACAATTTTTGAGTCGGAAGAAACAAGAAAGGTTGGCTTGGTTTTAGGGCATATCAACCACTGTAGATCATTTAATGCCAAATCTAGTTTATATATATATATATATATATATATATATATATATATATATATATATAAATATTAAATACATAGTACTATTAATCGTATAGCTGGCAACATTATTTACAAAGAAGAAATAAATGCAAAAAAATCAGATATCTGAGGTGGAACAACGACATTGAATCAATAGCTTCCTCGGCGGCAAGGAAAGTTGGTTCTCTGTGTCGTGCAAGAAGGTTTGGGTCCATCCTTCAACACTACAAATCAACCATTCGTCCTTGCATTGAATACTGTTGCCATATATGGTCTGGCTTTTCATCGACAAAATCCAGTGGCGGATATGCATTGTGATAGGTCCTGATCTGGCATCTCGGCTACAGTCACTTTCTCACAGACGTACTATGGCATTCCTCTGTCTTTTCTATACATATTTTCATGGCAACTGCTCCGACGAGCTACTTTCACAGATACCCAAACTGCATGAATTTAAGCGTGCTACTAGGTTGGCATCTTGCTGCCAACCTTTCACTTTCAAAACGGTTAAATATAGCCGTCTCTTCTACTCCAACAACTTCTTATCTCGCACTTCCCGACAGTGGAACTTCCTTTTGTCTTACTTGCTACTCTGATAACTATAATTTTCAAATATTCAAATATAATATCAATCGACATCTTCTGATGCCTTAACCTTGAGCCCGTCCTTCTTTTTATCCTCTCTTCAAACACCCCTCTTTACTCTTGTTCTCATTCTATGCAAGAACCTTGACACTCACACTGTGCTTGGGGTGAAATGCTTATAAAATATATTGAATAGGCTGGTTAATAAAATTTGAAGAAAAAAAGCGAAGGAAATGAGACCAATATTGTCGATAAAAATTGGTATGCATTATATATTAAAGTTTCGACTGAACAGAAGCACGAAGAGGTACATTTTAAAAGTCAATGATATACACCGACCGTTACAAACACTAGTGGACACGGCTGGTTTCTAGGTAGCATTTTAACATTTTATTCAATTCCAGTCGGAGACATTACATACAGTTACGTGTTAATACCCTTGGGAAAGGTATGAATTCTCTTCTTTTATCCCCACCTTTGGGTAAATAGCAGAACAGACCGGTTTCTATAGCCTTGGGTGGCAACTGGTCTACCGCATAAAGAAATGAAAACCTACTGCGGGAAAAATCTGCCTCGTCAGTCATGTATCGGAAGATATATGATCGCCTAAGCGTGTATCACGTATGACAAATAACTGACTGATTTATGTTAATGGGGACATACCTGTTATCGTCCGTAGTTATGTTACAACATTAAACAGCTTTATTTTTATATTAGACTTTTTTTTTAAATAAAACTTTTTATGACAAACGGCAAATAATTAATAAAGTTATTAACAATTTTATATAGTAGATATATTTCCACCTCATACTGCATTTTAACTTCAAATGCTATTTTATTGCACACTTCGTATTTGAAACAGACTTCCTATTTTTATTTATTAAACAGTGTCTTTTTTTTATGTCTATCAACCTGCCCATGCTAGAAATCTGAGTAAAGAAAATTGCGGTGATCGAACCAGCAGCGTTCCTCGTTCGTCATCAGAATCAGTCTAACTTAATTTTGTAAATCGCATATCGTTATTATATATTCTACAGTTCTATATTAACATCTCTGCCGTCATTTCAAGTTTCAACTTCGGGAATCAAAAAAATATAGTAAAACTCCAGCAAAAACGAAGCCTTCAAATCTTTTTAAAAAAAAAGGCAATTCATTAGAACATGTAGATTGGCGCTACAATCTCACATAGAACCCCTACCAAATAAAAATCCACATCTCTTAAAGACTTCTATAGGCAGCAACAACAAAAACAAAAAAGGTACAAATACAATTATCAGTAAAATGCAATGATATAATCAATATAGCAACTTTCTACAATGGCATAAACAAAATATTAATTGATTCAGTCATTCATTTTCTACAGCTTATCAAAACACTCAGGGTTATTTAAAGGCAGAAAATAAATTTAATTATTCGAGACGATGACGTATAGGTCTTGGTCATAATTGGGTTATTGTCATCATGTCGTCACGAGTTCGATCCTTGGATCTGGTAGTGACGCACACATTCAGCAGGAACGAACAATAACTGATGTCACAGGGGTAAAAATCTCACAATGATCAACGGATATCCCACGACAGCCTATAAATTCATACCCGAGAGTACTTAATTGAAACAGTCTATAATAACATTTATATCAACCAAGATGGGAACAAAATTCCGGAATAATACAAGAATATTAACAATTATTCATCTTCGAAATGATGTAGTGAATTATATTAAAAAAATGTTTTGTTAAAATCATGATTTATTGAGACACGTCTTACTAATTAACCCATAGATTTGGGAGAAGAAGTGGATTCATGTATTTCACAAGAGTAAAAATAAGTAAATATAATGAACCCAGATTGAATTGGAGCTCAGCACTCCGAATATAAATTCTGAGACATTAACCATTATACGACCTGCACATTCAAGCTTACAGTACCTGGAATTCTCAAACGGTCGCCCATCCAGGTACTGACCATTGCTTAACTTCAGTGATCTTACGGAAGCGTGATGAGGCCTAAAGCAAATTTAAACACATTTTTTGGAAGAAATTGTTGGAAGAAATCTGTCAGTGCTACTAGAAGTGGCGATAAGAGTTGGTGGACTTGAGGAATCTAATTTTCTAAACGAACTAATTTAACGTAGAGATTTTATAAGTTCCAACCGAAGTGTAACGTGAATCTTTCGGTCAAGCAATGCTTTCCTGTAGTGAAACGGCTATTTTCACAGTTTCGATCAAATAATTATTAAGATCAGACCTTACAGTTAATCAGGCCTTCTACCATACAATAGAATCCCTTATCCGAAATCACTCATATCTGGAATCTCGCATATCCGGGCATGATTTTACTGTGTATATTTTAACTATAAATGTGATATGTAACTGATTTGAAATGTCTGTTTTTTCAGCAAATTTACTTTGGATAATTGCTTATGCCTGCTTCATCTTAATGGTTTGTGTTGGTGCAAAGGATGATGGGAATAAGAGGAAAATAACAACTTGGAGTTATCGCATAAAGTGGAAATTTTAAACAGACTAGACACTGGTGAAAGTTCATTGTAACTAATGGCTGAGTTCAACATAGGAAAATCAACATTGTATGACATAAAATCTTCGAAAGAAACTATTCACCAGAGCTCATACTGTCACAATGAACAAGGAGACAAAAACATAATTGTGATGAAACCTGGACTGAAATTGAAAAAGCTATTGAAAATGTGGTCACTTTTATGGAAAGAAAGATAGCATTCAGCTACAACGATTGCAATAACGCACGAGTTAAAAAGTGTCTTTCGTTTAAAAAATTCACGAACAATAGCAAAGGCGGAAAAGGTAAAGAATGATATTAGAAGAAAAAGAATCATCATGCAACAGGGATTAAAAAATCTTCGTTACATTATTTGTTTTGCATATGTGGCATACTTAATTTAATCATTAACATTACATAATTTATCTATTTTTTCCTTAAAATCAATTCCATTATACTTTACTCACTATTAGCTTATTTTATTTACTATAAAACATTGAAAACAAATGTTACATCTGATTTCAGTTCTTTTATTTTAATCTAAATATAACCCCTCATATCCGGACTTTGTTACTAATACCTCATATCCGGAAGGTCATCTTAGTCTGGTTGTCAGGGATCCTACTGTATTTATTTTAATGTTAAAATGCTTGATATTGGTTTAGACTTTATTAATTCTTTTAAATTGGTTTATATTTTATTAATTCTTTTAAAATATTTACCTTTCTGAATTATTGAACTGATCCTCTCTTGTCCTTTTGTTCGACACAAGATCGAAGCAACGAAAAAAAATTCGTGACTAATCTATTGCTTGTAATAAGAAACTTAGTTACATAAGATTATTCCATGCATTTTTTTAAAACTACCAATAAACCAGTTTTTCTTTTATCTGTACCCAAATGGTTGCATTATCGTTTTTGAAAGAAGCCATTTTGATTAGATAAATAAGAGCTTGACGTCAAACACAATGAAAGCGATGTATTGGCGGACATTATTTTTTCATTCTTTTCAGATCTGGTCTGTTTATATTGTGCATTGATTATTTATCCTTATCTCGCGCGATTCTCGTATTCTGACGCTTTTGATACCACGGGAAGTATTGACAAACTTTGACATGCGCAGCATAAGAAGAAAAATGGGGACAATGTTTTCCAAGTAAGTGTTTGGTAGAATATGAGTAGGGAAAAAAATGAAAAAGAAATGCGATTGAAAAAATGAAGAATAGAAAGTAGAAACTTAAGATAAAAGGAATACAAATATAAGCAAGGGAGAAGGTAATATTGAGCCGAAGAAGGGAAAGAAAGGAGACTGGAATAAATAGAAATGGAAACAGAGAAGAAGTGATAGGAAGAAAAGAGGGTAAAAAAAAGGCAGATGACGTGGAAGCAGACAAAGAAGAAATTCAAAGGAATAAAAATACTGAGAGATAACTGAGAGAAGATAAAACGAAGAGATATCGAAGTAAAGAAAATAAATGGTCAGAGAAATTACAAGTTCAAATAGAAAGAAAATTAAGCAAAAATGAAATCTCAAAGAAAGAAAGAAGGAAATAAAGAAAGAAGGAAAAGAAAGAAGAAAGAAAGGAAGGAAGGAAAGAAAGAAAAGAAGGAAGGGAAGAAAGAAGACAGACAGGATAAAAGAAAGAATGAAACAAAGAAAAAGAGAACGAAAAAAGAAATCATATGGGGAAACTCAAAGTAAATAATGGAAACAAATGAAGAAAAGAAAAAAATCATAGAGAATAAAACGGACGAAGAACAAAGAAGAGAAATGAAACCAAGATTAATAAATACGAAAATGAAAGAAAGAGGGGTAGGAATAAAGAAGAAAAGGAAGGGAGGGAAGACAGAAGGAAGGAAGAAAGAATGAAGTGAATGAGAAAAGAAAGAAAGAATGGAAAATGAAAGAAAGAAAACACGACCAGAAAAAAGAAAACATAAAAGGAAACTGAAGAGAATCCAAACAAATAACCAGAAAAACAGTAAGAATAAAACAGACTAAGGAAGAAGAAAGAAGGAAACATTCAACCAAAATATAGACAATATGAAAAAAGAAGGAAAAAGATAAAAAATAGTGGAAGAAGTAAATAAATAAATTAACAACCAAAGAAAGAAAGTAAATAAATAAATAAAGATAGAAAGAAAGAAACAATGTAAGAAATCAGACGAGGAAACACAAGAGATACAATCGAATGAAAAAAAAACTAGAAAGAAAGAAAGAAAGAATGAATGAATAAAAGAAAGAATAAAAAAATGGACGGAACGAGAAAGAAAGAATAGAAAAATGACAGAAAAGAAAGAAAGAAAGAAAGAAAGAACAAAAAAGAAATCGTATGAGGAAACTGAACAAAAACAATGGAAACAAATATACAAAAAAGCAGAAACATTAAAATGAATTATGAACAAAGAAAAATGCATCCAGTATTTAAACAATACGAAAAATGCAAGTAAAAAGAAAGAACGCAATAAATAAAGTAATAAATAAAGAAAGAAAAACAAAAATATAAATAAATAAATAAACAAACAAACAAACAAAAAATGAAGGAAGGATAGAAGGAAGAAAGGAACTATGGAAGAAAGAAAGAAACTAATGTGGGAAGAAAAAAAAAGAAAAAATGAGAGAAAGAACGAAAAAAGAAATCAGATGAAGAAAATAATGAGAAATAATCGAATCAAATGAACAACAGAAATAAACAGATAATAAAACGGATTAAGGATAGAAAAATGAAACTAGAATTTAGACAATACAAAAAAGAAAGAAAGAATGGAAGGAAAGAAAGAACGAAGAAAAGAAGGATGGAAGAAAGAAGGAAAGAAAGACCGATGAAACAGAAATCAGATGAGGAAACTGAAGAGAGACAATCGAGACAAATGTACGGCTGAAAAAAAAACAAAGAGAATATAAAAGTCTAAGAAAAAAAGAAGTAAAAATGCAAACAGAATATAGACAATACGAAAAAGACAAGCAAGAAAGAAAGAAGACAAACATTTCATTTGACTAGAGAAATAAAAGCAACAAGAAACGAGTAACTGTCGAGAAATACTGAAAGAGTATCACTAAAATTATTAATTCTTAAAAATAAGATTGAAGAAAGCAAAACAGTGAAACGAATAAAAAGATGAAAAGACAATTTAAAAATGCAGAAAAGAAGTCAACATCTGGATTTAAAGTTAAAAAGGTGAAGGAAAGCTAAACCGGTATATAGGAAAAGACAGTAAGAAAGAATAGAAAAATTAAAGACGAAAAAACAAAAGACAGTAACAGAAAAACTGGAAGTAACGTAAGGAAATTAAAGAAGGGTGGAAAAGGAATTTACACAGAGGAAAATATATCAATAAAGAAAGAAAGAAAGATTGTTAAAGAAAGAAAGAATGGTAAAGTATGAAAGAATCATAAAAAGAAAAAAAGAACGAATGGTAAAAAAAAAATTGTAAGAAAGAAAGACATAAGTAAAGAAAGGTAAAGAAAGGAAGCATTGTAAAGAAGGAAGGAAAATGGTAAAGAAAGAAACAAGAATGTTAAAGAAAGACAGAAGTAAAGAATGGTAAAGAAAGAAAGAATGATAAAGAAAGAAAGAAGGAATAGGAAATAAATTTTGAAAGAAAGAATGGTAAAGAAATAAAGAATTGTAAAGAATTAAGGAAAATGGTAAAGGAAGAAAGAAAGAAAGAAAGAAAAATGATAAAAAAGAAAAAATGATAAAAAGAAAGAATAGTAAAGATAGAAATAAGGAATAGGAAATAAATATTGTAAAAATGGTAAAGAAAGAAAGAATTGTAAAGAAGGAAGGAAAATGGTAAAGAAGAAGAATTGTAAAAAAGAAAGAATGGTAAAAAAGAAAGAAGTGTAAAGAAAGGAAGAAGGAATAGGAAATAAATATTGAAACTAAGAATGGTAAAGAAAGAATTGTAAAGAAGGAAGGAAAATGATAAAGAAAGAAAGAAAGAAAGAAAGAAAGAAAGAAAGAAAGAAAGAAAAAAGAAAGAATGGTAAAAAAAAGAGTGGTAAAAAAGGAAGAAGGAATAGGAAATAAATATTGAAAGAGAGAATGGTAAAGAAATAAAGAATTGTAAAGAAGGAAGGAAAATAGTAATGAAAGAAAGAAAAAAGAAAGAAGAATGATAAAGACGAAATAAATGGTAAAGAAAGAAAGAAGGAATAGGAAATAAACATTGAAAGAAAGAATGGTAAAAAAAGAAAGAATTGTAAAGAAGGAAGGAAATTGGTAAAAAAGAAAGAAAAAATGGTAAAAAAGAAAGAATGGTAAAAATGGAAGAAAGAATATGAAATAAATATTGAAAGAAAGAATGGTAAAGAAAGAAAGAATTGTAAAGAAGGAAGGAAATTGGTAAAGAAAGAAAGAAAAAAAGAAAGAATGGTAAAAAAGAAAGAATGGTAAAGGAAGGAAGAAGGAATAGGTAATAAAGATTGAAAGATAGAATGGTAAAGAAATAAAGAACAGAAAAAGAAATAAAGGAAAATGATGTAAAGAAACTATATATGAATGAAAAAGAAGCTATATATGAATGAAAAAGAAGCTATATATGAATGAAAAAGAAGCTATATATGAATGAAAATAAACAAAAGTATCATAAAAGGATCCAAAATCGGAACAAACGAGCAATACAGACAAAAGAAAGAAAATATGTAAAAACCGCCCCCAACGAGATAAAACAGTCTACGTTGAAAGAAGTAGTTAATCAAGATAAGAATTTGCTCACAAAACAAACGGTCATTCTATGGTTAATGGCGCTGGGAATAGGAGGAGGAAAAGAAATGGAAAAGAAAGTAAAAACTATATATGAGCGTAACGATAAAAAAAAGGCCAGAAAATCTGGTATTGTCACTGACGTCTATACAACATGTGTTCTATTGTAGGCGAAGCGATAAAAAGGACCGGCCAATGAATAGACGGGCAATTCTGTGCAGAGAGAGGAACGTAAGCAGACATGGTGAAGCTTGATGACCCTGACAGAGAGATAAACGAGTCAAAAGGGTATTGTTTTCTCTCGTCCTACACCCACGTATACAGAAAAAAATGCACCAGTGATAAGTGCACAAAAATAAAATATCGAGTAGTATAACAGTAAATTGCTGATACCCCTTGAAAGGTAGCCAGACAGGTCCATCTACGTAACTCTGGATGAAGGTAAATAGAATCAGATAAGTGACAAACTTTTTATATATATATATATATATATATATATATATATATATATATATATATATATATATATATATATATATATATATACTAATGGATAGCGGCTTGAATAGAAGAATCGGAGAGCCGAGTTCGAATTCCAGTCGAATCCATTACATTCACTTACGTGCTAATACCCTTGGGAAAGGTGTGAATCCTCTTCTTCTGCGTCCAGCTGTGGCTAAATAGCAGGAAAGACTGGGTTCTATAGCCTTGGATGGCAACTGGTCTAGAAGGAGGACAACTCTGAATTCAAAACCTGCGGAGGGTCGTTTGGGGACCTTGTGGCACTTAGTGCACCATGTCTCTGAATTCGGCCCTTCAAAAAGTGTGGCTGGTCTTGCACGAAACCTTCGCCACTATAATCAAATCTCATGTGCTGTTGTCGAGCTGTCGGTTTCCTGGGAAATGATCTGCTTGACCCTCATACGCCGGATTCGACGGGGAGAGTCGACGATATATATATATATATATATATATATATATATATATATATATATATATATATATTATGATATGGACAAATTCCGGCAATTATTTTATGACGTTTTTATGTTAATACATTCTTTTAATAGATACAAATATTTAAGTACTTAAAAATGTGTATCTATAAAAAGAATGTATAAACATAAAAATGTCTTTATATATATATATATATATATATATATAATAGCTGGCCAATTGATTTCGTGGATACTTTTCTGCTAGGGTGGCTAGCCAATTTCTACTGCAAACTTACGCTCAGTCACATTTGTATTTGTTTAACACCTACAGAGCCAACATATGCTTTATACTGTAAATATGTTGAGCAGACCCTAGTTACAGTTTCTGGGAGAGAATTTGTTATCTAGAATGATCAATAATCTGAACAAAACCAGCACACTCAAGCCCTCGGTCACGATGACTTGTGACTTCGTGCTAGCAACATCTATCGACAACTTCAAGTGTTCTTTCTACACAAATTCAATCACAAGGATGGAGGCAACGGGCAGTATTGTTTTCAGGGCCTTTTCAAAGGTACGGCACGTTGGGATCGTCCCCAATCCACACCAATAACATCAGGAAGTGTCCTTCCTGGCAAAGCGTACGTATTTATCACTCGGTGACGGGCTCTTTCTCTCTATATATATATCTCTCACACACACACACAGCGCGCACACACACACACACACATATATATATATATATATATATATATATATATACACACACACACACACATATATATATATATATATATATATATATATTAGAATCTCCCCGTCATATTTGACGTATGAGGTTCAAGCATCTCAGTTCCTAGGAACCGACAGCCAGACACCTGCACCTGTGATTTCTTAATAGAGGTGAAGGTTTTGTACAGAACCATGTACACTTTTTGAAGTGCCCAATATAGTGACCTGGTGCAGTACGTGCCACAATGTCCCCAAACAGACCCTTCGCAGGTTTTCAATTCAGAGTTGTTCTTCTCCTAGATAAGTTAGCACGACTACCATCACCAAGCCGCTCCATCCAGAGAATTAGAAGCTGGTTCAAGCAAGGATATACAAATGATAGAAATTAAAGAGGATTTGAGATAATTATGTAATTCATCTTGTCTAGAAGAAATCTCAACAGAATGCAGAAAGCACTGGACGGCCGTTTTGTCCTATATTTGGGACTCATCAGCAGTGCGGCTTGGTGGTGGTAGTCATGGCTCTCGGAAGCACAGTCCTATGGGTAAAGGAACTTGGATGTGTTCCACAACGAAATATGTGAACGAACGACGCAATATCGAGTCTAGTTCGCTATCTCTTCGTCACCCGTTAGTACAGTTGGTATGGCGTTTGCCCGCCAATGTAGCTGTCCGGGTTTCAATTCTAGGTAGTGGATGCGCACTGCTGATGAGTCCCAAATATAGAACGAAATGGCATTCCAGTGCATTCTGTTGAGGTTTCTTCTAGAATCGATTAATTATCTCAAATCCTCCTTAATTTATATATATATATATATATATATATATATATATATATTCCAGTCTTAATAATCAAATTATTTGTTTATCTTTAGATACACTTCGAGCAGATAGGATCGTTCGAGGGAAATCAGAAAATTGTTGTTTAAATACTGCTAAATCGATCTCGCCAACAAGACACTCAACTGTAGCTAAACTGGTATAGCACTTCAGTCTATATAACGTTTCGTTCGATTCCGGTCGGAGCATGTATATATTCTATGAAAATTTTTGAGAAGTTCAAGCTGGTAAAGGATGTTAATACTGTTTATTTTAAACAGATTATTTACTTAAATATATGTGTCTATATAAATAACGTATAAAATGGCATTATATATATATATATATATATATATATATATATATATATATATATATATATATATATATATATATATGAGTGAGAGAAAATTATAGTTGGAGGGAGGATGACTTTCAGGGAGAGAGAAAATTGTACTAAGGTAAAGAAAGATAGTGGAAGGATCAGAAATTCGAGAATGTATTATTCGATATGACTTTTCTTTTACTTTTTTTAACGGTTAAATAAGTCATATTCAAAGCCCCCTCCCCATCTATGGAAATTGTAATTAGAACTAATGTTCATCTGAAAAGTAATTCCAGGTTCAGTATTCACTCTTGGGAAATCTTGAGGAATTTTCACTTCGCCAACCTGAGTAGAATTTTTCCCTCAAAGCATCCATTCTTTTAATCCGTTTGAATTACTTACGTCAACGTTATTAATTACTTTCCCGATAAGTGAATACGTATTCTTTTTTTTTTTTGGAAACCGAATAAAAACGTGTTAATATTTAAGACTTTTCTGCAAGCAGCAATTTCATTTCATTGTCTTTTCGTTAATTTTTTTTTATTTCTTTCTATTAGCGTATTAATGTAGGAAAATTCATAATTCTGATCTTGTTTTAATCATAGACGAAACTCTCGTTTTGATGTTTGACCCTGTAGGAATTTGAAATTGCTAAATAATTTGTCTGTTAATAGCTAATGCGCATGAACGAATGCATGCGTACCCACATCTATACACATTTAGTATACATATATTCAATATACGTGAATCATAATGACGATAAGAGAAGCTATTTTACATACGAAATATTCATTTTTCAACATAATCCATTTTATTTTCAATGCGTTACACAAGTCGTCTCTCTCTTTATCGCATATACATGACATTAAGTCATTAACCTTTTAGATCAGAAATGATATTTGCGTCAAGATAGGATCTCTCACACCAAAACACATTCATATACATACAAACGGTTCTAGGTACATTGGCCGTAAACATTTTTGCCGTAAGAAAACACTTCTCAGTAATTTTCGAGGTAGAAAACTTTGCCGGAAAACAATTTCGCCGTATTTTTTTAAATAAGTGAAGTAACTTGTTATCAAGTATATCTGATTAAAACTATTGTTACTTCGATTTAAACATTTTAGGTATTAGATCAAAATCCTACATCCTTCATCATCGTCCGCGAGGCGAGCAAAAATTTCAAGTTGACAGCCGAACCTACGTCACGCCATTTTATATTACAGACGTAACGTTAAACTTTCTGTTAACATAATATCACCTTGTCAATAATACTCTCTTAATATATATATATATATATATATATATATATATATATATATATATATATATATATATATATATATAAAGAATATATATATATATATTGTTTCAAAGAAACTTACGACTTAAATATGCAAACAACTTCTATATAAAATAACTAATTAAAGAAAGATATCCCTTTAAAACTCAGTAAGTCTTTTTTGAAATTTACACAAATTACTTGCAAACATATGCTGTTTCAACTTCACTAAAATACCTAAATATTGAAATATACGAAAAAAATAATGCGGCCAAATTGTTTTACGGCAAAAATCCTATACAGCGAAGTTTCCTACGGCGAAAATTCATGAGGCGAATTTTCTTACAGCAAAAATGTTTACGGCGAATTATCCGGGGACGCACGTAGCATATAAGCATCAATGTAAACTTGAATCCATTATTTATCTTTGTGATGTATTCCGTTATGAGGTTGGTGATCACGGCCCTCCACAATTTCTTTCCTTTGAAATCTGTAGCAAATTTTATTTTTTCGCTATGGCTCCTGGTCCGTGTTCTGTCAATCATTTAAACAAAATCGTTCAACCTGTTCAAAACCACAAACACTCACGACATCCATTGAAATGAAGGACTTCTACGATGGAGATTTGTCCTGAAGAAATAAGTCTTCTTTTGCTAGATTTCCTGGTAGTTTGATCTTGATAGCGTTTTGTAATTCCTTCAGTAATTTGACATTGTACTCTCCATTGCTGGCGATGTCCTTTTCAAGATTGTCAATAAACACGTTTTTTGCACGACAAAAACTGATTCCATCACCTTCTCTGCAGATAAAACGACCATGGCAATTTTCGGAGCAAGTAAAGAAGGTTGTTTAAACTGAAATGATTCTCTCTCTCTCTCTCTCTCTCTCTCTCTCTCTCTCTCCCTGTTCCAAGTAGATGAACCCAATACTCATCCTGGTTTTGGAAACTTTTTAAAGAAACCAGCTAGATCTGCCTTAAACAACCCGAGATTTTCCTGTGATATGATAAGCCTCTACGTTTTTGTTTTAATGTCAGAAGACGTGATACCCATCCTGATGAAACATTCGTTATGCCATGTTCATTGTTGGAATTTTGAGCTGACTCATTTTATAGTTCACCAATAGAAGGGTTAACCAATCAGAAGGCT